AAAAAAAAAAAACAGAAAAAAAGTAAAGTACGATCCGTTCAAGACTAATACTGTTCACGAGTCTCACGTGTAACGAATAATCGAGCCTTGCTAATTAAGCCGAAAAGCATCTACGATCTTCTTCGTGTCGTTAATTAAGACGAACCCCCTTCGTATCTTTGTGTATGTAGTGTATATGTAATATATGTATGTATATTCTCTCTTTAGAGAATACTATGTAAATTCGAAGTCATATTATTTAAGAATACATGTGTATATATATATATATATGTAGGTATACGTAATTGTTCAATCCTATTTATTGTATCAATGTAAAATTCATTGCTGCTAATTCATATACAAAGATATTTTATCATATATTCTTTTCTCTTTCAATTTAATTATAAATAATATTTAATCTAATGTAATCGTAATATATAATTGTGAATATTTCAATCGTATTAAAATAGTTTCAAATGATTAATTTTGCATTATTGCAAGAAAGGTAAATTTAATGATCGAAAGAATTTTGTTTTAAGAGATAATATTTATATGGGATTTCAAAGATTATTCGTTTATGTTTTTTTAAATGGAATTATATATATTTTGTTGCAATATTCTTGTAATGATGATCTTCATTATCATATCATATATAAACACAATATATATATACTATATTTTATATATAATATTAATAGTTATAATATACGTAGGAATGATTTAAACAAACTGAAGAAGTAAGAAAAATTGTTGATCACGATTTAAAAGGTCCCGTTTACGAAGGACCTTGGCCGACAGAAACGGATGTTAGCGTACATTCGCACCTAACGGTATCCTTTATCCGGATTTTCGGTGAGATTTGGGTCACGAACAAAAAAATAAGGAGAAGAAGAATATATTTTAAAAAAGAACAACTTCAAGAAGACAGATCAGAGTTAATTGACAACGCGACAAATACGAATACGTATAGATCCTAAACCATGAGAAAGACTAGAAGACTATTACGACCATAACGGCTTCCTTTTCTATTTATCTTCCACGATGATCTCGACACAACTTCTAAGAATTCTTACCGCTAAAGTTTAGAACAAAGGGGTAACAGAGAGAGTCCGTTTAAAAGTCCTGATATCGACTTCTTTCTTCTCTTAAACGTGATAACGTTAAAGTAGAAAAGAAAAGAAAAGAAAAGGAAAGAAAAAAAAAAAAGGCAACGATAGAGAAAGATGAAAATGGTGGTCCGTCTGGTTCGTCTCAACTTAATTTTTTTTTTTTAAATTGATCAGGTGAACGTATGCAGTGTACCGTAGAAAAGAAAATGAACGTCGCATTTAATACAAATTTGTTGTAAAAAATAATTGCACGTGTTATGTTTTTATTTTTATTTGCAAATTCTCGCGTTATTAGTTTTTAATTATGTTATCTATAAAGTTGAACTCTTTTTACACAATGCGCGAGGAGATATTCAATTTATTATATTTGTAAATGATTTGCTTTTTCTTTTTTCTTTTTTATTTACGCGTGAAAAAAATAACACAAGTGTTTCAATGTTTTATTTTATTCAATTTTTAACTAATTTAATTAAAAAACATTTTTTAAACTGTTATTTTCGCGTTGGTACAATTTTTACTTCAAATATTTGAAATAAAAAAATGATGTTACAAAAAAATATATAATGTTTTATTCTATTATATTATAAACACTCCATTTGGAAAGTAATGACTATTAACCTCAGAAATGCTTTTTTACTGGTGATATATATATAATATAAAACTTTTTGATATTTTCTACCACATAAGTAAGAATAAAAATATATATATATGAATCGAATGATTTAAAAAAAAAACCCACACACATGCATACGTATTCGAGAGTTTCCCTTTTGAAAATCGAATTACGAAAGGTAAAGTGAATTGACAAAATTTGAAAAGTCCTGTTTTTAAAGGATTGAATTGTTCGATATATTAAAAAAGATTAATATTAAAAATAAAATAAATCTTATAAATTTTAGGAAGATCCCACTTTTTTCTTTCAAAACTATTCTCTAACATTTATTTCTCGTTTTACTCGTGATATATATATATATATGTATGTATATGTGAATCGAATGATTTAAAAAAAAAAAAAACACACACACACATGCACACGCATACGTTCTCGATGTTTTCCCCTTGAAAGGAGAACTGCGAAAGGCGAGGTGAGAACCGATAAAGATCTCGTTCGTTCGTTCGGAACGGTCTAAGTTAAGTTCTTCGTCGTGTGCTGCAGAAATTCGCGAACAAAGATGCGGAAAACGGTAAAGAAATCCATCCGTACGCGGGTTTCTTTCGACCTACTTTGTAAAAAGATGATAGTCGTCTTCCTTTATCGAATTAATATACCCTTTCATATAAAGATAAATAGAGAAGAAAAAAATAGATAAAATAGATAGATTATTTATTTGATATAGACTCCTCTACTGTATAAACATATATAAAAGTATATACACATACGTACGTGTATGTGTTTTCTTAGAGAGAATGGTGTTCCCTCTCGATATAAACCAATCAATCTAAAGCTTATACTTAAACTATTATCTTCTTATATATATATATATATATATATATATATATATATATATACACATTTATAATATTTTACATATACTTTTCGAACAATATGATATACACTCGAGTAATTAATTTGATATCATTATAGATCAGCTGATTATTTGGTTTAGATCGAAATAATAATACGAAGTCGAAAAAAAAACATATACACGTAAAACCTGATAGTTAAATTAAGAAAACAAAAACAAAAAATCAAGGAAAGGTATTATCGAGTAACGAAGATGCCGATATTTTGTTCATACCATTGACCTCATCTTCTATCTATCTCTCTCTCTCTCTCTCTCTCTCTCTCTCTCTCTCTTACATACATACACAACATACATACTCTTTTTATCATGTTCTTTTAAAACCAAGGCAAAACGTTCGCTTTCTTTCTGTTTTCCTTTTACACATTACTAACACAACAAGAGAGTACGTACATATAAATTTTAACTTCCTTTCGAATTTGTTCCCTTCTAATATGCACACACATTGACGTTGAATCAAACTATTGTTTCTTTTTTTATTTTTATTTTTTTTTTAATTGATAAATAAAAACGAGATAAAAGAGACACAAAAATTACTCGGTATTATTTTTGAAAATATAT